CCAGCAGGAGATTCCTACTGTAGATGAAAAGAAACAGAATTGCGATGTTAGTGACAGGGAAGTTTTGACACTATAACCTTCTCTGCAGTTGTCCTTCTTCCTATTGCTTTAAGTGTGTAAACAAATCTTTATCAAAATTATTTATTTATTTCATTTAAAAAAAAGGTGTTCAAAATACTGCTTTTGCCTGTAGAAGCAAAGGGCATGGTTTTGAGAAACTGGCATAATAATAAGTGCCGAATGTGCTATTCCAAGGATTTGTTTGAAACCTTACCATAATAATTCTACCATGTTTGGGACTGCCAAGTGGTAAATTTGACTCATTTGGCTTTAGTGAGAGATTAAGAAGGTTCAAAATGAGGCCAAGAAGAGCATCTGCTTCCAGGTCTGCATTTGTTTAATCTGGGTAAGTTTGTTAATAGATGCCTGTAATTATGTATCATCTGGGTTTTGTTCTGTTTATTTTTTTCTTTAGGTTGGGGGTCGGGGTGTTGATTTTTCACCCCCCCAGTTTTTCCCCTATCTTGGGCTGTATCCAAATTGCAGGAAAAAAAAAGTCCTGCTCCTGTTCAGTTATTAGCAGCAGTTGAGAAATGGATACTCCTAGTAGAGCATCCTTGTTTCTCCCACCTACGATGTCTTATTTATTATTTTCAGATTACATATGTCTGCATTTAGGGGAGAAAAAAAAAAACACACAAACATTTGAAGCCATTTGTAGTTACGAAGATGACCTTTGATCTATGGCAAAAGAAACAGGCTGCAAAGATGACAGAACTTTGGCAGATTTGCCTGGGATGTTTTCTGAAGTGTCACAGTTTTTCTCTTACAGTTGCAGGCCAGTAGGGAGCTTTGCTTCACTGCACAAACACTTCTTGCACCTTTTTAGTTCGACTTTTGAAGTAGACATCCTTGATTAAAGGTATGCTTGTAATATATATACATATATATATATATATAAAAGAAAAATCATAATTTTCTGACTTTGACTATCTGTTTTAATATTCTTATATAATGTAAGTTAAAGCTGACATAAGGGTTTTTGGTTTTGTTTTGGTTTTGTTTTGTTTGTTTGTTACTGCCATTGTTCTAATGTTACATTCAAGTTAGCTGGGTTTTGACATGCTGTACAAATGGCTTAGGGAAATTAGCCCCCAAAAGCCAGAGCTTTTAGAAATGTAATTATTTTACTGTAAAGACAAAATTATAATGCCTATACAATTATTATTTTGATTATCTTCTTCCACACACTGTCCCAACTTCTTGCATCCTCTATTACAAGGTGTCTGTTGTGAATGTAAATGGTGGAACTATGACACTCTCTCTAGAGGTGCCTTGGCTAAATTATTATTAAAGCAGCCCACCTTAGATTCCTTCTTCTTTGGTCCCGTCAGTCCATGTGGCCTAGGGTGCAGTGATAAGCCACTCTTCTCATTCAAAAATCAGTGCAGGGATGCTGCTTCATCTAATGTGCTAAAGCACAAATCAAAATACACACAACGTTATTTGTAAGAATCATTGGCAACTCAGGTACCGACATGTTTTTGTTTTTAAAACATAGAAAACACATCAATTATATTCACTACAGATTGGCATTAGAAAATCTAGTAAGTATAAGAGGACTGGCTTTTTTTTTTAAAAAAAAAAAAAAAGCATCTCTTCAATTATTTTTTTCATAATTAGCTATAACAGCATTCAGAAAAGTCACCTTGTCTCTAATTTTTATTTGTCTTGTTTACTTACTTTTCTAAAGAGGCAGTTGCTTCTTTGAGGAGGCTCCTTTTGGATGGGTTTGTATGTTTCTGTGAGAAATGACTGCAGTTTGCTTAACAATAAGGCAAAACCCAAACAAGTGTGGGGAGAAGCTGTGTTTATTCAGAGTCTTAGTTCTCATAATTACCAACTTAAGATCCCATCCAGCTGAACACTTTGCACTTAGTGTTCCAGAGTGACATTGTGCCCCTTAATTCCTTGGAATTTAGCTTACATTTTATGGGGTCAGAGCCAAGTGATGCTGAAAGTCAAGGTTTTCAATTCGGTGAAGGGAGAAGTGTATTAGTGTGACATTAGGTGTCCAACATATAGAATTACTGATCTGTTTAAAGAAAAGTCAAAAGCATTACTAGCTTAGACATGTTAACGTCTGCGTACTACTGCAGTCTACTTTGCAGAGTAAATGGTACTGATTATCTTGCTGCTGTCATGTTCTTGAAGTTGCCTGTATATTAAGCTCTAAGAGGGGAAATACGCAGTGTTGTTAAATAACAAAATTAAAACTACATAATAAATAATATATTCAGTACAAAAAAGGTTACCAAATGTTCAGGATTTTAAATAAAATAACACTTGTGCAGGGTTAATGTTGGTGTTCATTTTGGTAAATACATTGCCTGCGGTTAATCTGTTATGTTTTAAGTGCAAAAGTTTGCCGACAGTTGTAATAGATAAAGCTTTTATCTGTTATCAAAGAAGACAGAATTGTAAGAAACCTTCCTAGGTCTTAGGAACATCTGCTCTCCTTTCTGTATCAATAATAAGACTGCATTCAGTTTTCAGTGTAGTGCAGCACTTTCTCACTAGCTCACTCCCTGTAAGACATCTGAGTTTATATAATCAAGTAGCCTCAGATGCATATTTTTCCTTTTAAAGATGAAGGAGCTGTTGTGAAGTTCTCCAGTTAGATTTCTGCATTGATCCACCTGTTTCTCTCTCTCTGGAAATTCCTGGACACGAGTTATTTTCATTTTATGTGCCCCATGTGGTTTCCTACAAACACAAGCGGTATGCCATTTATTTAAACGAAGCACGGATGACAAGACTTTTGCAGTTCTAAGTCTGGTGAGGTAATGATCCACTGATGTTACAGAAGTCACTGAGAAGCGTTCTAGAAAGAGCACTCAGCATGCGACAAAAGCAAACCCTCTTCTTTGAAGCTCATCAGCTATGTATCTTAATTATCCAGAGAAATAGTTGCTGTTACATTAAAAAGCCTCACCCTGTGGCTGAGCACGCTCTCTGTTCAAAAGCTTCAGGTCTCCTGCTGTCTAGGCAGTAAACAAACAAGTTATCAGAATGAAACCTGAGTTCCCTCTGCATGTCTCAGCACTACCAAATAGATCAGAGGAGTAGCAGTGCCTCATTAATATCGATGTGTATTTAGAAATTTAAGAATAATTTTCCAAAGTTCTTTTCATTTTTTGAAGTAATGTGCAATTTTTTTCTGTAACAGACTGTGTTTTCCATGTCTGTTCTTCAGTGGCTGCTACCCACTGAACAAGTCTTGTTGATGAAGCAGAAATGTTGTAAAATGAGAATGTTTCCCAAATACTGAAAGTCGTTCAAGGCTGCAGCATTGCTTTTTCAAATGGGTTGGGTTTTTGAGAACTCTGGAATAATTGTCCATTAAACAACAACAGAAGCCCTATAATGGAAAAAATGTCATTTACCGAGTCTATGCTGTTGCTGAACATTGTACAATGTTCCATTCTATCGTCTTCCACGTCTCTTGGAAATACTTGTGCACTGTATAGGGATCTGCTGAGCCCCTGATCCACTCATGCTCTGGGAGGATCTGATCCCAAACTGTTCAGGCAATATGCGAGCTGGAATCTATGAGAATTTCACATATTGAAATAGAGTAATACCCAGAGTGGAAGTTCTAGTGCTTGTATTTTCATGGATTACTTATACCTCTGTAGGGGAATGAAATGCAGTGGCACAGAAGTTTTAATGCTAGTTATGACAACGTTAAAGGTGCACTGGGGACAGATAGTATCAATACAAGATTAACTTAAAGATGACAAAGTCACTACTGGTGATGCAAAAGCTTGTGATGTATGTTCTAATAACTTTGCCAGGGAAGTATGAGTAGTATGCATGTGACTTGATGTGACCAGAGCCTTTAAATATTTTCATATGAAAGTAATTACAGACCAAAGTAATTACTGATGCTCATAAGCTGTCAGTCTGATCACACTTGTCTCCTAGTGTTGCATAACACTTCAGTCTTTGAGAGTAGAGCAGCCTAATTTCCAACACAGATGCACGGATTTCTGGAGGAGATAGAGATGTTCTCAGTATTGTAAAAGAAATTGTTGTTTTATACATGACATTTAATAATTTAACGTCTGCTTAGGCTGTATTTGTAAAGACGGAAGTTAATCATTTCATGTTCTTGAGTGGATGAGCCAGGGGACGGAGGAGTTACGCTATGTACCATTACTATTTATGATCACACAAAGCATGTTGATTATAAAAATAATGTGCATAGGAATTCCTTTAAAAGTTTTGTGCAATAAACTATTTTTGGTAAAGGACTCCATGTTGTTTTTTTCTTGTGAGGAGAAATCGATGTAATCTTCTCTTTATTTTTTGACTTTTTGTTCAGGATTCAGAATACGCTGCACAGCCACTTCAACTTATTCTGAAGGGCTATTGTCTTGATTTTTTTTCCCGTCTTCTCGTACTGCACTGCCCGTATAACCTCACCATATCCGTGCAATGCTGACGTTGCACACAACGTGGTGGCTGGTTTAAATCCGCTCTCTGTTTTTTCTTACGGGCCTTCCCCCGTTGCGCTGTGTTTCAAACCACTCATTCCGAAAGCGCCGTGCGCGCCCTCCCTCCCACCGCGCACCGCGGCCGGGGCAGCGCGCGGCTGGCGGCGGAGGAGCCGCGGGAGGCTCGGCGGCGGCCGGGCCCGGCTGCGGGAGGGGAGCCGCGGCCCCACGGCCCCTACCACGCGCGGCTTCAGCCGCCCGCCCGCGGCACGGTAAGGCCCGGCCGGGCCCCCCCTTCCCGGCCCCCTCCCCGCCGGGCTCAGGGGCGCTGAGGCAGCGCCGCCGCCTTCCCGCCGCCCCCCGCGCGGCGGCCATGAGCGGGCCGGGCGGGAGGAGGCGCGGTCCCGGCATGCCGCGGGGCGCGTTGCCGGGGCGACGGGGCCGTTTCGCGGCGGGGCGGGAGCCGCTGAGGTACCGGGCCCGGCCCGGCGGGGAGGAGGAGGGGCGGCGGCGGGCGGCGGGCGGCGGGCGGGCCGCGGCATGGAGCGCTGGGCCGGGGCCGGCTGGGGCTCCCTGTGGGGGGCCGGCTGGGGCCGCTGGCCGGCCTGGGAGCTGCTGGCCGCCTGCGCCGTCATCGGCGCCGTGGGCTGGCTGCTGCGGCTGCTGGACAGGAGGCCGCGAGGCCGCCGGGCCCCGCTCGGCCCCACCGCGCCGCCCGCCGAGGGGAGCCGGCGCCGCGGCGGGAGCCGCCCAGGTGAGGGGCGCGGGGCTGGGGCTGGGGGCGGCCCCGGGGGAGCCGGGCGGCCCCGCTCGCCAGGCCCCGGCTGCCCGCTGCAGGCCTCGGGGGGCTCGGGGCCCGGCCCCGCCTCGTCGGGGAGCGGCCCTGCTGCCCCGCCGCGGCGCTCGGAGCCCTCAGGCGGTGACCGGCGGCGGCGGGGGCTCGGCCGCTGGTAGCTGCGGGTCGGAGCTGCAGCCCCCGCGGTGGGTGTGCGGCTGCAGGCAGGAGGCGGCTCGCGGTGAATTCCTGGCTCGAGGGAAAAACGCGTGCTTGTGCTGCTCGTGTGCTGAAGGGCTCGATAAGCAGCGGGGGGAAAAAAGCGTTCTTGCAGTGTTTATTTACTGAAGGGTTTGATAAGTAGTGGAAAAAAAAAAAAAAAAAAACACAACTGTTATTGCATTGCTAATTCACTGAAGGGTTTGATAAGGAGTGAAGAAAAACCAACCTGTGTTCTTGCATTGCTAATTTACAGAGCCATTTGATAAGTAGTGGAAAGAACAGCACTGCCGCCCTTAAAAGTTGATTATTCATTCTCTCCTGGTACTGGCCTTAATTTTTTGAAGCAGATTCTGCAGTTTCATACTGATGTAGCAAGGCAAAAGAAAATGTGTTTTTTGCCCGTTCTTCCAGGATTGATTAGGAAGAAGCCACAAGTATGCGGTGACTGTTCCAGTGGTTGATGGTATTTGTAAAACCACTGAAGGTAACTTGCAAGACCTTGTGTGCTAAATTAGAGAAAAGTAACTTGCACTAGTGCTGGCCGAACTCTGGATCATTTGAATTTACATAAAATGTATTTTAAAGTTCAAATAATAACCTTCTGCACTCTGCACATACAGAACTGTCCAAATGATTATCTTAAAACAACTGCTAGTGTGCGGGTTTGCAAGTCACACCTTTTGGTTTGGACAGATGGAAATAGGCAGTGCATTTCCATTTCCAGTGCAGATGTTTATCAGTATTAGCTAAAAGCTTAGTGTCAGTACAAACATTTAATGGAAGTTCTGTCTTATTTCTAAGCAAATTTCAAAATTCTTTAAAATAAGCCGTGTTATTTAAAAAAAATATCTTATTAATGCTGTAGTAAATAAACTGCCATGGGAGATTCAAAACAACTATGTTGCTTTGAAAAACGTTTTTGTGTTTCTGAACAGGAAAATACATTATCATGAAACAAGTTGGCAGGTAATTTGAATATGGCCTTTGACAGCTGGGTGAATGTTGTCACACAAACAATTTTTATCTAGAAAACTCCTCATACTGACAGATCTGAAACCAAAGATCAGTTGCTTCATGGAGGGTCTGCTTTGTCATTTGACTCTGATGCGGTTGTACACGGTTGTAATGGATGCATTAAATAAATATTTTCTTACACTGATGAGGTTGAAAATCAAATTTTAGGCAGTAAATTGTATCAAAACATAAGATACCAGAGAATTCACTCCTTTCCTGTGTTTTTGACTTAACCCTAAGCCAAGGAGAAAGGTTTCATGCGTGCCTGTGTGCTCTACAGATATGAACTGTACGTATTTGAGTCTGCTCTTGTGCAGTGTTTGGAATGATCATGCTGGTTCTAAACCCTAAAAATGCGAACGTTTCCTGAGTTAATTCTTCAATATAAGGCCTTTCAAATTACTTTTGTTGAGGTGTTTCTGCAATAACTTTTCTTGCTCTGAGTTTTCATCTTTACCATGCTTTTTTTCTTTCAGTTAATCTCAAAAAGGAAATGATCAGAATAGAAGGTCTCAATATTCACGTATATAACGTCAGGGCCACATTTTATCCTTAATTAAAAGAGTGGCATAAAATTTCATTAAAAAAGAGTGAGAAAATTATAGAATCAGAGAATGGTTTGGGTTGGAAGGGACCTCAGAGCCCACCCAGTTCTAACACCCCTGCCACATCAGGGGCACCTTCCACCAGCCCAGGCTGCTCCAAGCCCCCTCCAGCTTGGCCTTGGGCACTGCCAGGGATGGGGCAGCCCCAAGCTTCTTGGGGCATCCTGGGCCAGGGCCTCACCACCCTCACAGCCCCTTCATGTGTATCTGCAGAGTCACAGGGCTGTGGGCAGGTCAGATAACCCTAGCAGTGAGGTTCTCTGGAGGTTCAGGCATCACGAGGGAGCTGGAATACTCTGTGGAGGTAACTCAGCAGCATCAACTGTGTCTTTGCACAGCTTATTTTCTGCAGCTGCAATGCTCTCATTTCCCATGGTTTCTCTAAGGTTTCAGTTAGTATTTATGAAATATTCTGGGACTGAAGTGCATGCTCTAAGAACAACACGTTTAAAAGCAGGCATTCAAAAAAAAGGGGAAAAAAAACACAATTACTGCTCAAAGAAAACATCCCTCACACTCACATAACTATACCTGCCAAGTTAAAATATTTGAAAGTCTACCTAAAGTTTGGCATTAACATTGTTTCCATAGCTTTAGAAACTATATCCTAGTTTTAGAAATACCGTAGCTTTGAATTCTGATGCCAGTGGGAATTTTCCTTGGCTGTATTCACTATTCCAAAAATGTATAAATACTGAATTTTTTTATATTGAGAAGTTTCGCTCTTTGCCAACTTAACCTTCAGATGATTTAAAAGCAATGCGGTCATGTATAGTTGGTTGATATATTTTGTGATAATGCTGTTGGCCATACAAATGAAATAAAAGGGGTGTTGGCTATACTGCAATTCTGCGATGAGGATGCAATCTTGGAATCACTTCTGAGTTTGCATGCTTCGACAGAAAGCACACCGGGCGTGTTAAGATCCCGTGTTTGAAATGCTTGCAGGCCTGCTGCCCTAGGGTGCAGCCCCTCACTGCTCAAGCCTCACGTTAGTAACCCAAAGACGCACGTTGTAGTGGATGTTCTGGCTCATGCGAAGTGCTGCATTAAACCCTGTTCATAAACCAGGAGAACTCTTCAAATGACCAGGTGTTTCTCATACCATGCTTAGACAACAGAAGGTAGTGCATGGGGAGGGAGAAAAAAATACCACCACCACAAAACCCTTTGCTTTAAATAGAAAGAAATAGTCCTAGCTGAGTTCCTGATCCATGCCTTGGTGTGCAAATACAACTGTTTAAATAATATTTTTACTTCTTCCTTTTGTGAAGCAGTAACTTGCTTGAATTGCTGCTAAAAATGTCACGAGCACCAGCCCCAGGCATGAACTGGTTAGCTGGTGAGGGAAAGGCCGAGTTAAGGAGGAGCGAAAACAAGCTAAAGGAGCACGGCAGCGTAATCGTTCCTGCCGTAATGCTGTCATTTCTAAATCATGTACAGCAGGGAACGTTCACAGCCTTTATGGTTATATGGATGTAGGATCTAATGAAATAACGTTGAAGCTTTTTATGTTACTGAACGCCCCAAATCCTGTATTTTTTACATTTAAAGGTTTTCCACAGCAAGTAATTGGTACTGGCATCGTGTTTTCAGTATCTTTTTGCTGCCCATGTGGAAGCTGTAAGTGTGTGGGTAATGTGGAAGGAACTGAGCAGGGAAATTTACGGTGTCGTACTGGAGAGAAGGGTTTTCCTTTGGAAATACAGAAATTCTTTCAGCTGCTGCTCTTTGTCAAGGAGGGAAATGTGAAAAGATCAACTGTTTTTCTGGCTGCTTGCTGTCAAAACGGGGGCTGGGAAAAAAAACATGTTGTGTAAATAGTTCCAGCCTTGAGTCACTGCCAGAGATAGACTCCTCTGGCTGCTGCATCATGCTTCTGTCTTACGCTTTTTTTCAGCTAGAAATTCTTAGTGAAATAACAGAAATAGCGGCTGTGCCTCTAGCTGTAGGCACTGTCTAACCTGAGTCTTGCAGTATCTATCATGTCCTGCTATGCCATTACTCACCCCAGTTGTTCATTTCCTGACAAGAGTCAAATACTATCCCTGCCTGTCATAAATTTTCATGCATAAACATTGTGGATTGAATTTACATTCTGAAAGTGTTAAAGAAATTTTAAAAGAACAAAACAAAATAAAACGTACATTGTAAATACACTTTTGTGTATTTACAAGTATTCGTGAGAGGAGAGGGAATAATGGTTAAAGGCTCGTGGCTTGAAAACTCTACTGTTGTGTTGGGTTGAAAAATATTTTGCCTTCTCTGCATCTGCATTCATTTCCTCAGAATCAGAACAATAGTTACAAGATACTTTTTGTTTTAATACAGCATTTAAATAGTAGGAGAAAGGTCATTGGTCTTTACATTTACAGTTCATCTCATCTCTTGTTTCCCTGCGCCTCCAGGTGAAATAACAATGGATGCAATATTATCCCGACTGAAGCAGCTCAACCCTGATGAGCTTAGAGAAGAAGTCGTAAGAGCAGGACTCAAGTGTGGGCCCATTACTGCGACTACTAGGTTTATTTTTGAAAAAAAATTGGCTCAGTTTTTGTTGGAGCAGCAAGGAGCATCGGAAGAAAAAGGATCAGGTTGGTCAGAGACTGCTGCTGGAAATGTCCCATCTGACAGCAGCCAGGCAGAATCTCAGAAGGCTTTGAAAAATGCAGTGCTGAATCACAACCATGAGGGAAACGTTCCCGAAGAGGCAGACTTTGGGTACTGTGTGGGTCTGAACCCTCCAGAAGAAGAAGCTGTGATGCACATGAACTGTTCGGCTCCAGTCTGTGGAGCAGGATATGCTGATTCACAGATGAGTGCTCAGATGCCATCCAGTGATCCTCCGCTCTACTATGGTGTTTGTCCTGTTTATGATGACATATTGGCAAGAAACGGTAAATGTCATATGTGTGTTTCTGAGGTGCTCAAATCTGGCCTGTGCTTTCCATATTGTATAGTAAAACAAAGTATTATTTTCTGAGGAGTGTTTTCCGTAATATCCAGTTACATATCACTGTAAATTGAGGCAGTAAAGGTGAGTGGATACCAAATATGAGCAAAAAGCATTTGTTTGTGAAGCATGAATGCACATGATTTTACACTATTAAAATTGCCATGACTTCCTCACCTTTTTCTCCCTTGAGAAAAAAAGGAGAGGAAGAACTAAGGGAACAGTAGCAGTCTTTTCAAAAAAGGAAATAATTTCTGTTGTGCAGGAATTCATTGTGGGCATATCTGTGTGAATTAGTATTAAGAAACATTGGGCCACGATTTAAAAGGACTAAGCTTTAATAATTATTAACAAATGTATTTTATGTAAGTTACAAATAACTTCGCTAGTTCAGATATGACATAGGGCAAACAGCCAGGAAGCAATTTTAGCCAATCAGCTGGGACATGGTCACACTGTTGTTGTTTTGGTTTCCATACAATCCCATAGCTAGGTTATTCAGGACTTTTTCATTTAGGACCTAAACTGAACGTCTGTTCTGTGACGTTCTTCTTATTAGCCCTTACAGTCAGACTGAGAGTTCAGTGATATTTGTGTGGTTTAATGAGGAGGTAGATGTATAAGAAACTGTTACAGAAAGTACTCTGCAGAATTAAGACGTGTTGATTTTGATAGTGTGATTACTTTGAGTTTAGAATCCATGCTGTACTCCCATTTGACCAGTTAAGTCAGTCTGGAAAATCAGGATGATATTTCAGCCTTTTTAAAATTCCTGAAGTCCATCATAGACTGCAACTGTGCTGTTTCAGTGTGAGTTGAAGACATGAATTTGAGGAATGACATATGAAGTTGCCTCTCAGCACACATACACACACACACACACAGAAAGTTTGACTATTAAGAGATTAAATCTGTGTATTTTGCTTTCTAAGACAGCAGACCTTTATAATAATACTCAAATTCTTTATTACAAATGATTTTCCTATCATAATCTATATTGTGCTTTATTACGTTATTAGAATCCATGTTCTGTAAAACACTGTATGACATAATGTGGTTTCTTCTGCTCTGTGCTTGTGCCAGACTTGCCCCAATTTCTCTCTATCTGTGACAAGTATTACCTTAAATTGGACATACACAGTTGGGTTTTTTTACTTCCAACAATAACCATTTTACAATCATATCTAGATAAGACATTTTTTCTGTAAAGCAGATGGTACAAACACCGCTGTGCTACTATTTTAGGCGCTGATTGAAGCTGTGGGTTTTTTTTTTTTTGTTCCTGTATATAGCACTTACTGAATCTTTTGAGGCATGGAAATACAGTTATGAAACATCCCAGCTGTTCTGCCATAGTATTTGATGCACATGAAAATCCTTTACTCTAGGTATAGCTTAGCTGAAAAAAAATCTTTCTCCTTCTTTTGTACCCCTCCTGTGCCTTTAATTCCACTCAAGAATAAAAAAAAGTAATCATAGAAATAAACAATCAAAAAGCTATTTATTCTATCATCAGTTGAAGCTAAAATGATCTAACAAATTTAATATTTTCCTTTCTGTCTTAATGCCAGTTGGTATCAAGGCGTTGGTCATTCTTCACATTTCATCTGTAAATACTGCCATAAGGAATCACTAAATGACCTAGTGGCAGGCTTACAGTAGTGCATAAAGCGTCATGCACTGTGAGGCAGTAGTGAGTATTTGTTCTCATAGAAAAGACATTCCTGTATCTTAAGTTGAACAAAGTTACTTAAATGTGGAAGGAGAGGAAGGAGAATGGTTTGATTGCCATCTGAGGTTCTGTTTAGAAGTCTTAAGTTACGACAGTGGGTTGGTCACTTACATAGCTGAACTTCCTGCACAGAAAAACATGGAAAATAGTGCAGGGTGCAGCTCTGAGTTTGCTTTTCAGTCTAGATGTGAAACACTCTGATATAGAAACTGGCTGTTTATAAAAGAGATCTTCAAAACGCTGATTGATGTGAACATTCACTGTACAGATAGCACCTGATGTTAGTTGGAATGTGTAACATTCTTCCTCTCAGTTTCCTATGATAAAATTTAAATAGGCTTTGATTCTTTTGCCATGTTCATAGAGAAACAGTTTATGACCAAACTGGAAGGATAGTCTGATAATTTTATAATCTGTTTCTAGGAACAAATCTGAGGTATTGAAATGCCAATGTTGATTTTACATTGTTTCAGAGAGAATACATGTTTATGAAGATAAAAAAGAAGCTCTCCAAGCTGTTAAGATGATTAAGGGTTCCCGTTTTAAAGCTTTTTCAAACAGAGAAGATGCTGAGAAATTTGCTAAAGGAATTTGTGATTACTTTCCATCTCCAAGCAAGTCCTCCTTAACTTTGTCTCCAATGAAAACAGGATCATTTAACAGAGGTTAGTGAGAGTATTCATCTGTACTGTAGATACAACATGCAATCTGGTATTTTTTTTATCAGAAAAGAACCAACCACTTCATACCCAATGTAGTTATAACAAGAAAAAAAATCAAAGTGATAGAGTGAAGCATCTTAATGAATCGCAATTGGTTTGTTGTGATAAATTTGTTACTTTTAAAATGATTGCCTTTGTACTGGTTTGCACAAATTTTACGCTAAAAAATATTGCTGCTATTTCAAATCTGAAATGTTGTTAACAGCCTGCATAGATATGTTGCTTAATAGCATCTGGTTATATTTGGTGGAATTTGATTCTACTTGCGGACTTCAGGAGTTTCAGGTTTAATAAGGCGCAGGTAAAATTGCACAGTATATTAAAACTGTACTTAATTGTTCAGTAAGGTCTTATATTCAGAAAAAAAATTGTAACCCATGATCATATTTCACAGTGTTCCCAGTTGCTAGATTAAAGTGACTTGAATCATATAATTGCAAAAGCAATTTCAAATATTCAAGAAGTTCTTATTTCTTGTTGAATTTTGCTTTTAGTTTTGGAAGCAGATTAGTAGTTACACAATTTTTCAGTCCATATTAACTCTGAAAGTTTCACAAGACAATTGAGTCATATTTTCCTTCCTACCTGTTACTATCTACTAGTATGTTGAAATGTTTTGTCAATAATATATATATATATTTCTTTACATTAATGAGGCAAAATTAATACTTTAGCTTAAAAGATTTTGATGGTGGTATTAAAGTAGTGATCACTTTAAAGAATGCATATAGAAGTATGATACTTTTGTTTTAATAGATGGCTTATGCTCCCCTGAGATGGAAACTGCTAATAAAGAAAGGGCCAACAGTTATAAAAGTCCACGTACTCAGGATCTTACTGCTAAACTTCGGAAAGCTGTTGAGAAAGGAGATATATCAACGTTTTCAGAACTTATTTGGAGCAACCCTCGCTATCTGATTGGATCCGGAGACAATCCAACGGTTGTGCAGGTAAAAAAATAAAAATATAAAAAAATCCTGGTTCCAGTTTAGTGATTTAACTTTGAGGCCTGATAAGCAGAACTGGAATTAATGTTGTTCCTGCTCTTCCTTCGAAAAAACTTCTTTCCACAGTGCACAGTTTCTCCGTGTTTACTGATACTAGCTGGAAGCTAACAGAAACGTGGCTGTTGTCTGTCTTTCAGAAGTGCCCCCAGGATAGTTGAGTTTGCTTTGCTTCAGAAGAGCTTAAGAAATGGAGTATGCAGTTTTTGAGGGAAAGAATAGTTTTGACCAGTAACAAAGAATAGCCGTGTCTTCATGTGGTATTGATAATTTTCAACCAGGATTTTTTAACTGGAATGATACTGTGTTTACTGTTGTTCAGTGTTTTTAGTGTTGTTTACTGTGTTCAGTTTTGGGCCCCTCGCTACAAGAATGACATTGAGGTGCTTGAGCGGGTCCAGAGAAGGGCAACGAAGCTGGTGAGGGGCCTGGAGAGCAAGTCCTATGAGGAGCGGCTGAGGGAGCTGGGCTTGTTCAGCCTGGAGAAGAGGAGGCTCAGGGGCGACCTTATCGCTCTTTACAGGATACCTTAAAGGAGGCTGTAGCTGAGGTGGGGGTTGGTCTGTTCTCCCACGTGCCTGGTGACAGGACGAGGGGGAATGGGCTAAGTTGTGCCAGGGGAGTTTTAGGTTAGATGTTAGGAAGAACTTCTTTACTGAAAGGGTTGTTAGCACTGGAACAGGCTGCCCAGGGAGGTGGTGGAGTCACCATCCCTGGAAGTCTTTTAAAAGACGTTTAGATGTAGAGCTTAGGGATATGGTTTAGTGGGGACTGTTAGTGTTAGGTTAGAGGTTGGACTCGATGATCTTGAGGTCTCTTCCAACCTAGAAATTCTGTGATTCTGTGATATTATGGAACAGGAGAGTGTCTAGGCTGTGACTAGATGATCCTACAGCACCGCTTACCTTGGGACCACCATGCTGTAAATTTCAAAACATGCTGTGGATCTAAAATCCACTCGTAACTTATCATTTAGCGAACACTGGCAATCACATGTTAACAACTAACTTGTATCAGACCAGCTTTGTGAGGCTGTTAACATTTAGTATATAATGTGTTACAGTGCAATGAATTTTATATATATACACCTTTCTTCTTGCTCTATTTACATAGTGTGCTTCCTATCTCCTTTTATTATGTAGTACCTTAATATGCCTTCTTTGCTACGTATTTGCCCTAAATGTCAAAACAGACTATGGCTGAGTGTAAGGATAATGTAGTAAATTTTAAGAATAATGTGGGTATGTAGATACATGTCTTTACAGTGCTGTGTAACTTATTGCAGCTCTGAATGTTTATCTACTGTTTTGTAAATATATTTTCCTAAGATAATATTAAGAAATAACAATCTAAATATAAGACTGTGGGAACCTTTGAATTTTCATCGTTAAATCAGTAGAGAGTATGAGTGTTTAGATTTCTATTCATTCTAATGTTAAGTCTTTTTTGTTTTCAGGAAGGGTGCAGGTACAATGTCATGCATGTTGCTGCCAAAGAGAATCAACCTGGTATCTGCCAGTTATTACTGGACACTTTGGAAAATCCCGAATTTATGCGGCTTATGTATCCAGATGATGATAGTACAATGTTAAAGAATCGCATCCGATATATTGTTGACCTTTACCTTAATACACCAGATAAAATGGTAAGATTTGTACGTTTGTCAGTTTCTTACTATTATGAAAACAACTGGAAGGGGTTAAGGAAGCGCAAGGGAGAAGGAAAGACAATAGAAGGGGTCATTTCTAGGAAAAAAGAGCTGTTCATGGGTTTTGTATTTTTTAATGATCATTATTCCACAGTATGGTGAGAAATGATCTATTAAGAGCTTGGTCAATCCGTCACAACATTCGGTTACTTTTTCTAGTCTCAAAATAAAGTACAGGGGATTGACTATTGTGTTTCCAAATATATGTGAATTTTCCCTCCTTCCCATCACAGGGATTTGATACTCCATTGCATTTTGCCTGCAAGTTTGGGAATTTGGATGTTGTTAATGTGCTTACCTCACACCCAGCTATTGTAAAAAATCCAAGGAACAAATACGATCAAACTCCAGCAGAAGTAAGTCTCTCAGTGTCCACAACAAAAACATTATGCTTTAGTAGTATTTTTCAAGTTTGAATGTTTACTGACCTACTGTAGATAGAAGTCTAAGATACTAGTGCCATGATTAGAGTGTAAATCTCTGATAACATTAAAAATATTTTGTGTTGAATATATCCAAAAGAAAGTTCTGGATTTTATGATTCCCTGTTTTTTCTTTACAGTGTCCATTTTATGGATGTGGATGTATTTTAGTGGTTATTTAACTATGAATTAAAAGAACTGGATGAGATTGGTAGAAGCCAGTAATGTGACTATTCAAGAACTCATTGCAGTTGACTGGAGATTGATGCTTGACTGGAGATTGATGCCTTATGTTTTATTAATAAACAACTAATATTATATTAACAGGTAGTGTGTGAGAGAAGCAAGAATAAATCTGCAGAATTGAAAGAAAAACTAAGAGAGTATTTGAAAGGTCTGTATTCAAAGTTTTATACCATATCAGGCATATGATACGTTTTATTTTTCACCAGGACCTTTGCTATCTTCTTTGTTTTCTGTAGCATTTCTGTTCATAAGTGGTGCTACTGTAAAGTGCTGTAAAAAATCAAAAAGAAACTCTAAAACTGGCAAGGAACAGAAAACTTACTGTGTCTTTTAAATTACGTGGTCAGTACTCTTACTGGATGGATCACAAGGGTTTCTTCATAGCTCTTAAGGCAGTCATGGCCCATATTCTATCCAAAGAGTCTATAGCAGCAAATTTAATCTAAAAGCAAACAAAAGCCATCTACAGAGCAGGAGGTTTATTTGTCATGTTTGGAAGTCATGTAATTTCCTTGACGTGAAAGATTTCCCTGTTTTGTCACGTGTAAGTTTGGGCATTTGGAAAACTAAGTTTTGAACTTTTCTGACAAGCTTTAGGAATTGTCGTGTGTATCAATGCATGTATTTTTGCATTTGAGAGGGAAGGGAGCCTGAACTGCATTACAACCTGCAAGCAGTCAATAAAAACTGAAACAGTGAGTTTGAATTATGAGCGTTACAAGTATACAAGCATTACAAGTATTCTTACTAATGAAAGTCAGATGGTAAAGTAGAAAGATTGATTTTATTGGAAGAAACAGCAGGCTAACGTAACATGAAGTTAAGAAAGCTTTGTATTATTCTATTTGAGGTCGATACTATGTACCACTGCTGAGAGCAGAAGACAATTCCTCAGCTCCTGTAATTGGTGCACCCTGGTCACCGGATCAGACAGACGAGATCCCCCAGACACCTTTATCTAAATACCCTGGCAGCCCCAAAGATCCAGTGTTGTCTATAAGAGCTTTTGCAGGCCCCATGAGCCCCTCAAAGGTAAGGATATAACGAGAACTCCATCCAACTCTAATGCCTTATTTTCCCTTTTTTTATTTTTTTTCTCCAGTAAGGAGAAAACACGCACAGTACATTGTTGCTCCTGTTATAGATCGTGGCTTTCTTAATCTTGAACAGGGTTTTCTTCCATAGTGAGGGAAAACTACAGAATCTTTTTATTGCTGAAAACACAGAAACAGGTGGCGTAAGTAAGAGTGGAAATTTCATAGAATCAGCGAATGGTTTGGGTTGGAAGGGACCTTAAGGATCACCCAATTCCAACCCCCTGCCATGGGCGGGGACACCTCCCACCAGACCAGGTTGCCCAAAGCCACATCCAGCCTGGCCTTGAGCACTGCCAGGGATGGGGCAGCCAGCCACAGCTTCTCTCTGCAGAAGCCAATCTAGTCAAAAGAAAATTTTTCTGTTCTTTTTGTTACTGTATTCTATTTAAATCAAATAGAATTTGATTATTTGGTCAAAGAGTACTCTTTAACAAACTTCGCATTGTCTCACAGATAATTTCTCTAACTTTCTAATGCAAAACAAGCCTTTACGTGTTGCTGTGAACTGGGTTTAAAAAATACATCTTTGTCTCATTTCTAGGAAGTTTGCAGTAGTTCATCATGCCTTTGCTTCTTGAATTAATGTTCATATTTTTTTCTAAATGGAAAAGCTGATGAGGAAGTAGTGGCTACTGGATAGTTTTGGAAGAGTAGTGATTGTATAGTAGGAAAAGTCTTTTGTTTTCATGAAGAATACTTAGATACCAGTGAAATGTACTTTAAATTCATAGGAATTTCCTTGACTCTTGTTTCATATGACCATGCTGACAGTACAACAGCTTTAGACATAGTGAGTAAATGAGATTAAGAATGTTCCGTCTTGTGATGCTTCAATTCCTACGGGACAGAGTTCTATGAAAATGCTTAAGATTTTTTGCTTGCAAAGATGCTTTTTGGTCAATTTACTGTTCACCTGACAGAAATGTAAATATGCTTTATACTCGAAAATTTTTACATAGGTTGTAAATAATGCATTATTTTGATTGGTGACATACAGTTAGAGATCCTAGTCACTGTTGCATGTATAAAGGCATAAAGTTTGGGAGTTCAAATTCAAACTTCTGAATAAACAGCAAGAATATATTATAACAATTGAAACAAGTCTGTGGAATCAGATACATACATGTAAAAACACCATCTTTGCATCGTGGAAGCCTCTAAACAAATGAGCATTTGTCATTAAATAAAATTATAATGTTGTAAGACACACCTCTTATTTCCTGCTGCATACAAATTAAAACCACCTAGACCTAGTATCAATACAGATTACGTAAAGGTGGTTATATACTGTCATCATTATTCTTTTAATGAACAGTTACGAGACCAAAGTAAGCTAATAAACACACTGGGAGGAATAACCTTAGATCCAAAATGAGATGTTTCATAGCTAGAATTGAGCAATACTTGTGGCAGAACCTGAGTTTTTTTGACTAGAGACTGAACATGTAGACAGAGCACAGCAAAATGTCTTGTAGACCTTATAGGTAGGCATTGTGCCAGCACTGGTTTACTTTCATATTGTATGTGGTGATTTTTAAAAAATTATTTCTTTTTTTAAAGGCTGAAGAATTTCGCAGGCTGTGGAAGACTCCACCCCGAGAGAAAGCTGGCTTCTTTCACAATGTCAGGAAATCTGATCTGGAAAGAGGTGTTGAAAGAGTTGGAAGGTATCTAATAGAGTATCAGTATAGAGAATTACCAATAGCGCAATTAAAAGCAAAACACTTGTACTAAGAGTACAATTATTACTTAGCGAACATCTGCTTGGGCAAAAGTTATTTGCCAGAAATATTTTATAGACTATACTGTGCCTGGATTTTTACTGTTCTTTTGTGTGAACAAAATACTTCATCTAAAACTATGAGACATGGCTTTCCAGCTTTGCCAATAACAAAATATTTCAGTTTTGATGATACATACTGAATGCTTTTCCCAAACATTCACTCAACTGATTTGTCAGGAGATCTAAAATTATGCTCAAACTACTTATTCTGGAAAATGTGGAACTATTAAAAAGATAGCAGAATGAGAAGGTCCTAATACAAATGTTCTGCTTTACAAAAACCGTGTGTGTGTTATCATGTGTCCTTGCTGTTAAAATACCTTGTATCAGCAATATATAGAGAAAAACCATACTTCGTTACTAGCTGATCACACTCCTTTCCTTAAAAAAAAAACCCTTGCTTCCTCTTTACCTTCTCCCATTCCAAAATAATAAGAAAGAAAGCTATTAAATGGAGTGTCATTCAAATTATGCCTACATTGGTGTGGATTCGTGTCCATCTGATGTCTAGATACAGTCAGCTTAAAAATTGCAATACGTATGGTGCTAACTGTAAAAACAGGTAACATTGGAAAAATATTCTAAAGAAACACGATGCTATGCTTGCTAACAGCATGTGTATCGCTTGCACAGACTCTTGATTGTTGCGGGATTGTGTTGCCTAGTTGCACATTTATACTCCTATTAATAGCTGATAAAATGTATTCAGAAAAAAGTTATTGTCAAACTAATATTTATGTCTTCACAAATGATTCGTTTTATTTTATTTATTGCAGGGAGTTAGCTCATGAACTGGGGTTCCCGTGGGTTGAATACTGGGAATTTCTGGGCTGTTTTGTTGATCTGTCTTCCCAGGAGGGGTTGCGAAAATTAGAAGAGTACCTGAGTCATCGGGAAATGAGCGAAAAGGCTCAGCAAGAGACAGGGGAAAATGAAACCTGCAATAGATTTAAAACTCCACATCCTTCTGGTAAGAAAAAGGCAAATGTTGCAAACAACAGGTTGTACCTAGGGAGAGGAGGGAGGGAAAAGCATGGTGCCCAGGGAAATGGTATTCACCTATTGTGGTTGCTATTATTAATCTGTTATCCAAACAGTCTGATTATAGCATTGAAAAAGTAGCTAACAACAATGTGAACATGGGAGAATTAGAACAGACCTCATTAGATGTTCTTTATCTTATATTAGAAGTTATTTACGTGATTATAGCCCCTAAATGAAATTCCTGTAAGAATGTTCTGCTTTCAGTATGTTTTTTTCCAGAGCATTTGGAAATTTCTTTGTAGATTATGGAATTTTGTAATCCACAGATACAGAATAAATAACTTCTTAAATTACTGGAATAGCTATTTACACTTCAGGATGAAATTTAGACTCAACAAAACCCAGGAAGCTTTTAGAACACCTTAAATCACTGCTTGCTATGTATGGACTACACACACTGCTCCCAAATCTTTGTGCTCCTTCCTCATTTCCTTTGTGATTATGGATCTGAAGGAGCTCTGATACTGGGATAAACCTGGGCGGACAAGACCCTGAAGGATAATCATTGGAGTAGTTGTAAGCATCTGTTCCATTGAGGAGACAGAAACGTGCACTGTTCCATATTAGTAATGTTTTCCTAGCCTTTTCTGCTTTTGGATTTTATCCTTTTGTTGCTGGCTAATGATTGAATTAAGGAGTGTAGGAAATAAGGTTCTCAAAGAGTTAGGATATAAAAGGTTAGTTGCAAAAAAGATTAATCCATGAGGTTGTCGTTTTGCATTGTAGGTTTAAGTTACGTTAGTTCAATCTGCTGCATAAATAAAATTACAGAGGGCCTCAATAAATAAAGTAAGGCATAAAGACTGGTTTTGTTCCTAGTTTATTTATCTGATGGGAGTTCTGTTGCAAGTCAGCTTATGTGTTGCTCTTATTAAAATTGTTTACAGGCAAGAGCAAAAAGTGCTGCAATTCTATTTCTGTTGGAGCATTTTTGGATGAGGATGATGATGACATGAGCTTAGAAGAAATTAAAAACAGACAAAACGCAGCACGGAATAACAGCCCACCTATTGTGTCCAAAGAACCTAGCATCGATGCTATTGGAGACTCTGAGTGTGATATCTTGTCGCTGGAGCGTACAGTAAACATCATAGAAACATCGGATCACCCCAGGCACTATGAAAAGGTGGCTTCTTCCAGCAAAAATGGATTTTGTAATCCTGTGGCCAGTGAAAGGATAATTAATGACAGAAAGCACTTGCGTGATGGAGAAGAATGTCGCGTATTGCCCATTTGCAGTATGATGTCAGAATTTGAAAGCCTGACCTTCCGAGAACAAGAGGGCGCAGGAGAATCAAGTAAAATCAGTGAAAAAACTGTGAATGAGAGAATTCTGGCTCAAAGAATAAGTCAGGGTAGAATAGCCAAGGACCATCTGGATAAGACCTGCTATGCGGTTGCACTGGCAAGTTCTTCTGAGGCAAGTGCTACAGGTAAACCCGGAGAGGCCAAGTTAAGGACAGAGCACAAAATACCATCAGAAAAGGAGCGATTGGCCATGGAATCTGGAATTCAGACTAATAAGGCACAAATATGTCAAGAGCCTCCTTCCCACAAATTTCTGTTGAAGACTTCACCCACAAATAAGAAATTATTTCTGCTTGGGTATGAATCATCTTTTTTTTTGTCCTTTGGTCCATCTACGCAAAACAAAATGCTTTTTGTAGTATCACTGGCAGCAAGGTTAAGTTCACATGAAACTAAGCAATTTTTATTAAGGTGCTTCAGTGCTTGTACAGTAGCCATACAGCGCTTGCAATTAATTACCTGAATACTGCATCTGAAATGCAAAGAACAAAACCTTTCCAAATCACAGTTTCAGGTAACTTTGTTGTTTACTATTCATCTGATGGACTTGTAACTTCATGGTGAGCCTAGTTTAGGGTAACAAAGTGTTTACTATACTGTTGGGATGTCCTCAGATTAAGTTTTCAAAACTTTTAAAATGAGGCTACTGTGTAATAATGGACAGTTATTTATAGCTGGACCTGCTGGAAAAAGTTCATACAGAAACTGTTTATAGAGGAACATGGGTAATTTGCTTTTATAAAAAACGTTTCAGAATTGGGATGGCTTATTGCCTGGACAGATGTGTCATTCTCTTTTATCTTGTTCTGTTTTTATTCTAGGGAACAGCCCTCGAAGCTGGACAGTGATGTCTTAGCAGCTATAGAAGCAGAACAGATTGATCCACAGAAGTACCCCCTTATTTACAAATGGAAACATGCGGTGCAGTCGTACTCATCATCTGACAGGCAAAGGTATTGCTGCAAAGCCAACCAAATGAGCCACAATACCTATGGCACTAACCAAGCTCAGGTGGATTTTGCTCCTAATGCCCCTTTTTTTATGGGAGCATTGGACCAAAATTGTCACGGTGCTTCACAAGCACCTGCTTCTTCTTCATGGCCATTCTGGAGAAAATTACATTTAATTAATTAAGCAACATGTCTAAATCAATGTGATATATTTGTGCTGTCACTTTCTCTTCTCAAACATCTATCAGTTACAGTGCTTCTCTCATGGTAAATTATTTCTAAGACTGACTTGCAGGTGACACCAAGTAACGCCACTGCTCGCTCTCTCTATTGCAGTTTTCTTAACGAAATGCAAAATGCCTTTGTCTTTCTTCCAGTTGGCCAAGTCCGGCACTGAAGGGAAGATTCAAGTCCCAAAGCACTGCTGCTGGCCCACCAAATGCTTCAGTGTATTCTAGTCCAGGAAGAAACAGTCCTGTGACGGGAAGTCCAGGGAAATATGGCAATGCTGCCTCATTCTCTCCAGACCCTGGGAGCCCTGGGCGCTACAGTCCAGCTTGTATCAACCATGCGCTGTTAAAACTGCGTTATTTTTCAGAGCCTCCTACTCACTAAACTATGATTTATTTTCCTGGAACTTTAATTATATTTTCATTGTTAGAGTGGAGGAAAAAATTACAATGTTACTAAAGTGACATGAGGTTTGCACTTGGCTATTTATTTTTCCTCAATTGAGGACAAATCTATGTTGCAAAAATTGAATATATGTCTTTATGCCATATATGAGATGATAGATTACTGGTGATATGCAAGAAGTTAGTGACAGTCAGTGCAGTTGTCCAGTAGCTATGAATTAACCCTTGTTGCCAGTAGAGCAGTGAGCTGAACCTTTACTTAGAAATGGTGGTATTTTACTATCACCAGCTGTCATCACAAATAACTCATTAGCCCTCAACTACATTTCTTTGCCTGGATAGTCTGAAGGAAGCACATCAGCAGCAAAGTCTTACCAGAAATCTTATTAGAAGTAATGGATGGCAAGCTGTAAAATGTTCTTCCACTTGCAGGGGAACATGGCAATTGAAAAGCCTAAGGCAGAGCCTCAGTAACAACCACCTTTCAGTGATGGGTATGAGTGTGATACCCTTGTGCATAATCAGCCAGCAGGTTGATCTAGATAGTTGAATACACACACACACACGCATATATGCACACATATATATGTATGCATGTATTTACACAGAAAACCTCAAGTTTTACCTGATCTGAGGCTGTTACAAACACCATGATACTAATGAGTGTTTTAGTAAAGGAGCACTGTAGAAATTACTGGTATTCTGCTAAAGGTTAGTTTTAAGTTTAAAAAATAAAATTAGTTTGTTTTTCCCCACGAAAGCTTTCAACATTAGCAGATGTTAATAGTTATTACAGAAAAGCACATCAGCAATAATTTCAGCAAGTTTACCAGCAACATACCTTAATGGTCTAGTTTGTAATATATTAAAGTGGTATGCAGTGGCCTGTGATACAGCTACTTATTTCCCAACTGTTAAGAGATGAGTAAGGACTATAACTATTTTCACTGAAATCTACACTTTCACTATGCCTCTAGCCTGGATGTGGTAATGATCTTTTATTACAGGAGTCAAAAATTGTATTCTTTCTTTAGCCTTCCGTGAAAGTGACTTATTTTGACAGCACAATGCTGAGACTGAAGACTGCTTTTTCAAAAACTCAAGACAGTTTAATGTTTGTAATGTTGCTTGAAAGAAAGCTTCCAGAAAGAGGTCTCTAGTACTGCTGTTTTAAATAAATACATTTAAAAAGGAAACAGAAAAAAAAAAAAGGCAAACTATCTTATATTTCCAACACAAAATTGATTAGAAAAATAATTAAAACCTTAAAAGGCTGTGCAATTAAAATAAAAAAAAAAAAGGTGGATTAGGATTCATGGATGGCACATGGAATGTGAGTAGATAGCCTTCTGGGACTTTTGTAACCTAAATGTATGGCTAAAGAAACACTAATGGTAGGCAGGCTGTTACCACTTACTTAGTACTGGTCCCTTCACCACCTGTAGCTCTCACCGGTACAGAGCCTGGCTTTACAAATACAAACCTTAACAGGATTGATGGCTATTGCTCACTAGTGACTGTTTCATACACACTTAAATGGCTTCATTATTTGGTATAAACCTGAAAACTGCACTTAATGCTTTTGCAAGCTCAATAGTGCCTTTTGTAACATACCTTTTTAATTAAACTTTTGTTCTTTTAAAGCTTAAAAAAGTGGCACCCGCTTGCAGTGGGCCACACAAAGTTTTTCTTCTGGGATTTCTGGAATGGAACGTATTTTAACTTCTCTTTCTAAGTTTATTTGGTGCAACAGCTCTGCACTGTGGAAGAACATTCCTATTTTAGAAATTAATTATTTTTTAAAAATAAACACTTAATTAGATCTTTCTTTATAATTCTTTTTCCAATAATCTGAACATTAGGAAAAACATTTTACTCAAATGACTGTCATTCAGAGATATTCCAGACAACAAACTTGGGGTGGGTGTCATTCTTTAGCAGACATTTAAACAACTAACCGACTATGTTACCAAGTATATTAACTTGACTTTTTCGTATTTTTTTCAGTTGTTTGATGCAGCAGTCTCTGTGGTCTCAAACTACTGTTGGAAGGCTCAAAATTCCTACAGTTTTAATTAAAAAGGTTTGGGGGGGAAGGTCAGTAATTCAATGTAAATTATGTCTTTGTCATTCTTGAGAAATTATTCAAATGATAAAGGGAAGTAATTGCATGATATCAAGGTAAAGACAAAGTCATAGGGAAAGTTGCTAAGCAGATATCTGGCCATTCTTAATTTGTCATATGGCAACGCTGCACTTTTGATAAGGGTTTATCAGAGCCAGGAGACTGATACTAACACAGTAGTATTTTTTCCTTTTTATGCTTTGCTTTCTCTTTTTTTTTTTTAATATTTAAATGTATATTACTGTTATGTATGTGTATACACACACACGAAAACACACTAAGACACTTCCCTACCCTACCACCACCGTACCCTGCCTTCCACTTTGTAATTTTGTTTTGGTTCAGTCAAGAGAATATTTTTTTATTTGTTACATAATTTGCATTACTCCAGTTGTACTGCATTTTACAAGGGAATTTTTCTAACAATGTATTTTCTTCGTCTGTTTAAAATAGGAGCAATTTATGTAGCGATTGATCAGTCACCATTGTGAAGTAAAGCTCTTCCACACAGAGCCTGTGGAGACACTATATCAGATTGGAATTGCTTCAGTTTACTTTTAAAGGTGCAAGAGATCAGGGTTTTTTTTTGTTGTTCTTTTTAAATTAGCCAAGTGTCATGTTAAAAACAAACACAGAGTTACCCAGCTTTCTATTCAAAAATAAATGAGTGCTAAAAGTGTCACAATGTATTTGCTTAATGGGGCATAGTGGTAAGTAGGTGGGGTTGATACCATGACACGGTTAAATTGCTCATTACTCACGTCCTTTGTATATGTGCGCACAATGAGGTTTGATTATTAAGCCACTACTTAAGTACTTTCATAATCTTTAAGAGAAAAGAAGTCTGCATACAATAAAAATTATCTTCATACTATCTTAATTTGAGATTTCATACACACCCCCCTCAACCTTTTTAGTGCCACTAAAAAAATGTTGCTAATTTCTGTACCTGTGCAAAGATGTTTTGTACGCGCACTTGGGGTGACCATCACCAAGAATGGGGAGAGGGAAGAAGGGAAAAGAAAGCCGTTTCTTCCACATGTGTAAATAAAAAAGTGCACTTAACCTTGACCTTTAGAAGACTTGTTAACACCTTTGAGATATGTACATAGTGTGTGGAATTTTCGTCTTACTTGCCTTCGTGTTCCCGTTCCATGTGCTGGTAAATGACACAGCATTTTACTAATCAACTGAAGGGACAAGAAAGAAAGACAGACCAGTTATTTTATTCAAAACTTTTAAAAAGTTAATAGACAAAAACTGATAAATTATTCTCATTGCATCAATGAGACATACATCACAAGGGTTTCCTGCTGCCCCTGGGAAACGTGCACTACAACTACCATATTTTGTTCCCTACCAGCCCCAGTTTCCTTTAAGTCATTCTGATGTAGCAGTCCTGTATGAAACGAGCCATTAAATCTTGTCTTGTTAGGTTGTGTGCCACGATGATGCCTCAAAGCTCTGACAGAAGTAAGCTTGAGGTTTCTTCAAGATTTTTGGGATAAGAGAACCTATAAGACATGCAATGCCTTACTTTCACCGTACTGCTGGATGTGTACTAGCCATCACCAAGGCAGAGTACGCAAACAAAGAAAGTTTTCAGTATTACAGGCATTGTACGCAGACTTACTAGCGTGGCTCAGGTGCCCATCAAACATCCTTAAAATCAAATGCTTCTGAGCTTTTCCCTCAAAAATAACTTAGTTCTCAACCATGTGCATTTTTCCTAGAACAAGTCCAGCAGTTGTTTCCTAGAACAAGTCCAGTCAAAATTGTACAAGGGAGCAACTTAAAGCATTCTGCCTGATGTTTATACTCACACTTTGCCCAGACAGAACATCCCACAGATCCTTTTTCACTATGTGAGCAACAGCAGCTTTAAGCAACAGTTCGCTCCAACACTGCAGAACCTCTGACCTGTAGTGCCATTACCTCAAACTCTGTGCTGTTATTTCTCTACTCTGAAATCATGGTACCAAAAATATAAAGCAAGTGGGGAAAGCAGGAAAAAATGGAAAAAAAAACAACTGTACTCCTTGCAAACACAAAGTAAAGAACGCACAGATAACTGCTTTACATTCCTTCCATCTTTCTGCTACAAAACTCACCCCTATGTCCTTCTACAGACAAGTTTTAATTAAAAAGGCCTTACAAGACTGAAAAACATTGCTCAGAACAGCTTAAAGTACTCACTGGGGATGCAGGAACACTTAATCTAAGCAGCAGTTAATTCTAGCACCGCAGCTCTGAAGCAAATCTTTTTTTACTCTCTTTTCTTTACAAGGCCCAGGCACAGTTTACACGAGCTTTTAGGGGGCAGAGGGAAACAATGAGACAACATAAACATACATCCTCAACAGCTTACAAATACTGAAGCTTTATCCCTTTGTCCTTCAAACAGCAAAATACCCTCAGTTTGTCACTTCCTCTGCAAGAGCTGGAACAAGCTGGCTCATCTTCAGTTTTAGCTGCAGTGTGATAAAGGCTGCTCTTTCCAGTTCCCATATCATTATTTTCCTGCACAAGAAAAATATCCACAGGAGCAAGCTTTGGTTATAGAAGTTCACAGGGAAATAAAAAGTCCGTGCTCTTGTAGCTGCTGAGCACATGGACATTCAATCTTTTTGTATTCCACAGATGAGCTTCAAGTTTTGGGGAATACTTGAGGACTGGACAGCTTCAGGCTTAGAAAGATTTCTTCTTTTCTGGACTGAAAGGCAGATATGAATAAGTATGAAGGAGGCAAGGGGCTAAAGGACATTTTAAGACAGCATCACATCTTAACAGATAAAAACCTAGTGGTACTGTAGCTGAATGTTCTAGTGCAAAGAGTCTAGAGGCAGCTCCTGGGTAGCCAGCTGTTTCACTCATTCAGGTGCGCGTGATTTTATCTGGAGGCATGAAACCTGTGTCACCCAGTGTTCGGAGTGCCACTCTTCCATTTGGCCGTATCACCAAGTGAGTTATACTGCCATTGTTAAGCGACATTCGCAGCCAGCCTTCTGGGGGGAACTGCAATGCTCTATTAAGACAAAAAAGAAAAAAAGGAAAGAAAAACATTACTGCTCGTTCATCAACAGTTATATTAACATGAAGTTGACAGTATCACCTTCTGTTCCAGATAATAAAAAATGGTCATTTTGCAGCTTGCATTCAAATGTCCTACAGAGTCAGCTTTGGAAAAAAATGAAAAAGTATTGTTTTTGTGCAACAGATCCCAAACTGCAGTTTTGGTAACTGGACCAGTGTCAAGAATACACTTCCATAAGCGGATTCCAGCAGATGAATGTGATTAATATAGATAGGATTAATTCAAACTGACAGAAGGTAGAAGCTCTCATGGAGTCTGGTAGCTGGGAGTGCTCTGAGCAACCCAGTACCAAACAGGATGACAGAAGCTCTATGCGCAGCTGGTCATTAGGCCAAGTGCAGTAGCACAAAACCCTGCGCTGTTCAGGACAGGTAGAGCACACGGCTCGCTTCTCCCCAGTAAGTCTCCCCAGCAGACCACAGGCATAAGCAGCACACTGCACGTATGCACCTACTGTTGGGAAGGCTAAAATAGCATAACTAATAACACCAGAGAAGAGGTACTGATATACAGTTGGTTCTAGTTACCAGCATGCGCCCATAGAAAGAACTCACCAGAACTGTTTTCATCAATGATACTGTTCCCCAGAAGAGAAAAAAGAGAGAACCTTCTGCTTTCTGTACAAATACGGTCTCACAGGTCTTTTTAGTCTCCAGCTATTCTAAAATTCCTAACTGACAAGCCTCAGAGTTAAACCACTTGCAGTAACGACTCAAGAAAATAGTAAGTTGTCTCAAACATCTTTTGTCTTAGATACTGAGGAAAAAAAATGTTTTTTGACAACAGTACTTTAGAAAGTCTAAAAAAAAAAAAAAGTAAGTAACAGCTACAGTCAAGCTAAATTCAAAAGGAACACTATATGGATTGCATGTAATTGTTATCAGATAGCCCATAATGCTAGATATCAAAGGTAAGGTGAAAAGAAAATTGAAGAAATAGCAATGAGAAAAAGTATAAAGTATTTCAGAAAAAGCCTAGGTAGCAGAAAGACGATCTCTTTTGGCACAGGGAAGAATACTCTGTGTACCTGATCAATAATCTTAAGTATAGCAATTTTGAAAAGCTCTAAAGCAGTCCACAGAGCAGGCAGGCTAGCATGTAACTAGCTCAGCTAAAATAAGCTAACCGAAATTGTTGCAGCTATTGATCAGATTAAAGTTTAATCGTATCTATCCTGCTCAAGACAAATTATCTAACAGATACCACTTTGCTGATGAGGAGAAAGAACAAAGCAGATGCAAGTGACTGGATAGGGAGACAGGAAAAGATCCAGAACTGTTTTCTCCTTCACGGGCCACCTTGATGTTAGTTGAAAGATGCCCTCTTCCCTCCAATCCAATACTGGATGTTTTGCAAAAACATACTAATACAATTTGAACATAATACAAAAAATAAATCAACTAATAAAGAATCCCCAAAACTAAATCAATCTTTCATTATTTAAGATCAAATTCACATCACCTCAAAGAGAGGCATCCAGTCAGATGCTCTACTTGTCGTCTTTTCCAACAGTCTACACAAAAGTATTATCTTCAGGATTGTGTGAAGCAGAAGCATGCAGTATTAAAGAGACTGTTCAGACGCACAAAAGTTATCAAGTCTCACTGATTTGGCCATTTTCACTTTCACTGTACAGTGTTCTAATTTTCGCATATTTCCTCTATCTCCAAATTCGTCCTGTGAAGTTGCAGGAGCAGTTGCTCACAATGCAAGCACTCATCTCCAGCCACCTCAAACGCACAAATCAACTGATCACCAAGCTCAGCAGTGCAATATGCCAACATGATTTCAGCAAAGCTATGACCTTTTAAAGAACAGGGATGAACGTGCAATGCAACACATACCTGCAGACAATGTAGCGGATCACGTTGGCATGACAGACAAAGATCTCGTAGCTGTCTTCTTCCTGCTTTGCATCAGCTCTATGAATGAAGTTTCGAAATGCAGCCTCAATTCGAGCTCCATCTTCATAATACTGCTAATGGCACAGAGTTCAGAATTAAACATAACTCAGAGCAGCATGCGCCGTTATTTGCATTTGCAGATGGGCTACATCTTCTGACAATTTCTTCTTTAGGGAGGTCCACACTTGAGGCTCAACTAACACACAGATTTTTAAGTTATTTCACTGGTTCTGTACACTTACTGAGGAGAAGGAAACTATGCAATTATCTAAGGTTTATGATGAAAAGCATCAGCTCAGATACCATGAGCTATAGCTTTTGTCAACTGAAGTATATTCAAAAATATAAAAATGAAAATAAACAAAAAGTAAGTAAAAAGTTACCACAGCTTCTGGTTTCCAGTGAGAGACTGGAGGGTCTGGTTCTATAGGTGCTCCCTCTCTCAGCAGATCAGTACTAATTTTTTTGACTCCTGAAATATTAAATACACATTCAGAAAGGAGTTGTTACTTCACACGTCCCTGCAAACAGACCCACATCTGCTCAACAGATTTTTTTTATGCTCTTTGAGGAAGCCTTCCTCTCCACAATAACGACATTTTAGTCTAAACATTTCCCATCAAGGTGTGTACATCTCTCCAACACAACTGGTTTGTCATCAGCGAGGTGAAGTTTATTCCAACTGAGAACAGCCAAAACAATTTGGCATAGCAAGTTGACTTCCCAGTCTGCTGCATTTTGAAGAACTGTATTTGTAAGGGTATTAATCTTAATGTTCATGTTCACTAATTAGGCTAATTAATGTTAATGCTTCACTTTTGATATGTTTATATTAATATTTTAGTCCGAGGAAGGGAACTTCTTTTTAAATAGCAG